CAGTCAGGTTACAACGAGATAATGACGGACGTGGCGCCGGAACGAACAGTCGGGCTTGCAAGACTTTCTACGTCAATATTTTACGCTGACGGGGTGATTGATTAGGAATTGATCAATTTCCCAATTCTCTGGTGACAAGCACAGGTGTTTCCTGTGAGATCCCCAGAGCTCTCCGCCTTGGGCGGAAACCGTTAAACTATTTATAGGCAGAGGTGTTTTACAGGAATATCCAATGGTGAACCGTTATATGGAATCTTTACTTTTTGGCAGGTGGCAGCTCTTTGTCTCCTCAAGTTACAAGGTAGTGGGTTAGGTTTCTCTACCTGTTACGTGTGCGCTACGTGTGAGGAGCTTACGTTTATCTTTGACCAATTATATATAGTTTCCCCTAGCATTTTATTTCAGCTGACCAATTATCTACAGTACTCTGGCCGCATTTTGTTTCAAGGAATTTTTGGCAGGGATGTCTTTTAACCCTTAGTCGTCAAAATGAGGATGATTTGAATGGTATCTCTTGCTCAGTGACATGGGCACAATTTAATTGGGTTGTGACAGCACTCAATTTCAAAACTAATTTTTATCTATTACAGTGCTCACTTCCTTGCAGATGGGCTGGGCAGTGGATATGGGGGCATCAGCTAGGCAGGGACAAGACTGAGGTTGTGTTGTTAACTGCTTAGCTTATTTAATTACACTTGGGACATCCTTCAAAGGATCTGGCAGCAACCCAGGGTGTCATGTTTAAGAGTTCCTGATCTAAAGTGATTGATCCATGTCATACCCTTCCTGGTACTGTAACACGTTGAGGTCCTGGGGTGGCTGTGATGACCCCTGGTGGCTCCACGACTGTGCCCTGCTCCACCCCTAGGGTACCTTCCTGGCTTTCCTGCCATGTCTTGATGTTATTTATAATATATATCGGGAGGCTGCCCACTGTCCTTTGTTGGCCTCAGTCCCACTAGCCCCCGCTGGTCTCTGCTTGTGTCCAGGCCTTTCACTGGCCTTCACTTCTACCTTGCAAGTTCCCTGAACCTCCCTGTTCCTGTAGGCAACAAAACAGTCAGTCCAGCATCCCTGTGTGGCTCCCCTGGGCAGGTGCTCATTCCCCTGTAGCAGCCAGGGAGTAACCCCTTCCAGCTCCAGCCTTGGGTTTATGTGCTCCCAGGGCCCTGACTATGTCCAGTCAGCTGACTGCCTCACTTTGCCCTGGCAACTGGCAGCTGCTGCACCCTGCCTGCTCTGCAGCTGTCCCTGTATCTTAAAGTAACAGAAAGCCCTAGGCTCTGTTACAGGTACCCACAACCATTTGTTTAGAGATTCCAGAGGATTGAGATTCCCTGACTTCTGTTTAGTAGCTATTAATGGATCTATCATCCATGAATTTATCTAGTTGCTTTTTTAATTCTATCTGCCTCTGTTATCCTGTGGTAATAAGTTCCACAAGTTAACTATGCAATGCATAAAAACCATTTTAAACCCATCTCCTAACTTCAGTGGGTACCCCCTTGTTCTAGTATTTTGGGACTTGGTGCATAACAGATCCCCATCATAGTGCCCACACCCTTCGTGTTTTATGTAAACCCCTAGCATGCCCCCCCTTTAGCTGTCTCCTCTCCAAACTGAAGAGTCCTAGCCTTTTTGGTGTCCCCTGCTATGGCAGCTGCTCTATAGCCCTGATCATCTTGGTTGCCCTTCTCTGTATTTTTCTATTACACCTTGTTTGAGATATGGAGAACAGAACTACACCAAGCATTTAAGATGGGGTGCACCATGGACTTGTATAGTGGCATGACATTTTCTTCTTTTTTTTTCCAATTCCCCTTCTTAGTGATGCTCAACAGTTGATTAGCTTTTTGGGTCACTGGTGTACATTGAGCCAATGTTTTGGAGAACTGTCTACAATGACTCAAAGATGTCTTTTCAGAGTCGTAACAGCTAGTTCAGTACTCAGCTTTGTGTACATATAATTTGAGGTTATTTTTCCTTGTACATTACCTTGCCCTCATCTCAACATGGAAGTTCATTTGCCATTTTTTTCCCCCACTCAGATTTGAGATCTTTCTGCTGCTTTTCTCCATCACTTTGGGACTTGACTACCTGGAATAAATTAGTATTATCTGCAAACGTGTGGAGATTTTACTGTGCACCCCCCACATCCAGGTCATTTATGAAAATGTTCAATAAAACTGAGCTGAGCACAGCTCCATGTAGGACCCTGTTTTTGACATCCCTCCTTGCTAAAACGTAATCATTTAGCCCTACTCTTTGCTCCCTATCTTTTATATCAGCCCTCAGTCCATAAAAGAAACTTCCCTCTAAGCCTGTAGCAACTCAGCTTTGTAAAGCTTTTTGAAATGTCAACTAGATCTCCCTTGTCCATGCTTGTTAACCCCCTCGAAGAACTCTAGCAGATTGAGGCAGGACTTCCCTTTACAAAAGCCATGCTGACTCTTCCCCAGCAGATCATATTTGTTCACAGGACTGATGATTTTATTCATAATAAATGCTACTAATTAACCAGGGATGGAAGAAAGACTTACTCGTCTGCAGTTCCCAGGACCAGCTTTTGGAGCTGTTTTTGAAGATGGGTTATTGTCAAAGAGCCACATTTCTGGCACAGTCTGTTGCATACTAGACATTAGGCCTGTGCAAGTCGGCAGCAATCCGATCCAGCTTTGGATCCGGCAGCTTTGGATGGCCATGATCCGATCCGGAGTTCTGGACTGGGTTTCCACCTTGATCCGGACGAACTGGCTGCGAAGCTTCAGAGGTGCCCCAGAGATCCGGCCATAGGGTATAATGGGGAATCAATTAAATATCTATAACTTTGTTGTTTCTTGTCCGACTTGGATGAAACTTGCAGGGATGATAGTCTCTGCTGAGAGCATGAAACCTGCCAAGTTTCAAGAATATCGGTGTAGGGGGTTGGGGAAATACCCCAAATTCTTGAAAGCCAAACTCATGGCACAGCTGTGTGTCACACCACAGGGGGGGGAAAACTGTAGGGGTCGTAGCCCTTACTAAGGCCACAAAGCCTGCCAAGTTTCAAGGAGATTGGTGCAGGGGTTTGGGGGGGACTGCACTTCAAGCTGCAGGCAAGCAAAACACGCAGTGTCACCCATGGCACAAGTGTTCAGGCGCAGCAGGGTGACAGCTGCAGGGATGGTGGCCACTGCCGTGACGCCTGCCAGCTGTGGAGGAGATCGGTGCAGGGGGAGTCTGGGGCCCTGCACCCCCAGCTGCTGACAGGCAAAACTTGTGCCAAGCTGTCTCTGTCTTGGGGCAGTTGATTGTCTTTATAGATTCTTTCCTCTCCTTAGCCTGGTTTTGTTAGGTGCTAATTGATGCTCATTAAGTCATCGTGTAATAGCTAGGTCCTGTGTATTGAACCAGCCCCTGAGTGAATCATGACTGATTGATTGGTAACTGGTAACACAGTAGCTTAGCAGCCAGGCCTGCAGTAGTGTCTCCCACGCCCCAAGACAGAAAAAGTTAGTCCCATAAGCACCCATGGCACGAGTTTTGCTTGTCCACAGCTTGAGGTGCAGTTCTCCCCAAACCCCTGCACCGATCTCCTTGAAACTTGGCAGGCTTTGTGTCCTCAGTAAGAGCTACCACCCCTGCAGCTTTCACCATGCTTTGTAATGCCTAGATGTGACACAGCTTTCACCATGTTGTAATGCCTAGATGTGACACGTTTTGTTTTCAAGAATTTGGGGTGCTGTTCCCCCCAAACCTTTGCACCGATCTTCTTCAAACTTAGTAGGCTTCATCCTCTCCACAGTCTACCACTCCTGAAAATTTCATCCAAATCAGACAAAAAACAAAGGTATAGATACTTTATTGTTTCCCCATTATACCCTATGGCCGGATCTCCTAGACAGCTCCGAACCGCTTCGGGAAGCCTAAGGAGGCCAGTGCTTTGACCTGGATGTCCCGCTTCGGCCCCCAAAGCTTCTCTGGATCAGAAGCTCTGTCCTAAGTCTCGCGCAGCCTTACTTGGCATGTCTACAAATGCAGTTACAGTACCTGAACAAACTGCAGAGCTTATTGCTCTGGAGTTTAAAGCTTCCAGGTGCAGTGTTTGAACCTAGAGCCTGGACAAAGCAGCCCTGGGTGGTAAGGGCCCCAGGGCATCAACTATTCCCATGCTGCTCCCTCTGGCTCAGTACGCTGCGGAGTGGCTGCCTGGGACATGAGGGAGCTTCAGTGTGGGGCTAGCCAGCAGGCAGGCCCTGCATTGAAGCACCCTTGTACCCGCTTTTTGGGCAGCACCTCTGTATGTGCTACTGCAGAGTAAATTAATTTATTCTAGCCTAATAGGGGTGCAAGTGTAGACATTGAGACAGTTACTGTGCAGCTAATTAGTCAACTGCACAGTAAATGTCTTGTGTGGATGCACCCACTGGGTGCATCTATACATGCAACTAATGCAATGCAATAAACTTCAGAGCGGTTTGAGCTGGAGTAAAAGTTCAAGATCCAGAGCAGTTTGGATCCCCCCCTCCCCCCCAACTCCAGCAGTGCTGGAAATACTCTCCCTTCCTTTCTCCCCCTCCCAGAGACAGCAGCCACAGACAGAAATTAATTAAAGCTGCTCCACTCAATCAGGGTTAACTTGCTGCATGCTCAGAGGACTCTGCAACCAGGCTCTTCTGTTTAGGCCCAGCTTTAGAGCAATTTCAAGGGGCCAAACATATGACAAATGTTACTTCTGTTTATGCCCACAAGTGTTCTGCAGCAGCAGGGAAAATGGATGGTGGTCTTCCACATCCCAGCCCAAAACCCTGGTTGGGAGCTTGTCCATCCCCACATGTAAAAATTCTGTTATTTTTAACTTAATGTTTGGAAGTGGTGCATGACAAGACTATTTGTGAAAACAGGTTTCTTATTTTTAATCCAATAAAAACCTGTTTGAAGTTATAAAACACTGAGCCAGACACAAGTTCAGTTATCTTCCACTAACGTTCTTGCAATAAAATAGAACTCTTCCAATATTTTACCAACACAGCCATCACTGTTATTTTTTATTATAAAAATAATATTTAGGCAGTTATAAAATATATATACATACACACGCATGCACGCACGCACGCACACAATCATTGAAATAATTATACAATTATTTCAGACAGAAGAAAAAATAAATAGCTCTATGCACTAAGTGCAAACAAACAAGTTTAGTTCTAGTTGGATTGACCATCCTCTTGTTTCTACCTCTTTTGCTGAAGTACTTCTCATTGAATGTTTCTGGATTTCTTAAATTTAACTTCCTTTTCAGAGTTTTACTCTAATTCTGACAAGCATTGAGATCCCCACAAGGAACAACAGACTTTCAGCCTAGCTTCCACTCCTGTGGACTTTCTTGTTGTAGGTGATTTTGGTGGTCCTCATGTTTGTTGAAAAGTTAACTGTTTTTCCATCCTTGGACAGATTGCATGCTTTATCCTGAGGTCTTTTGTGCAGTCCAACAGATGGCGTGAAGTAAGAGGTAGACAGTTGATAGTCTGGTTCTTAGCATCGTGTACTGTATCCATTTAAAATTAGTTGCTTCATTTGAATTACTATTCTTCAAGTCAGTTATCAACTAACTTCTTTCAGTGATAGAACCATCGGTATTTTAAATCAAAGATACCAAACACTGAAATGGATAAGCATAACAATGTATTTTGATAAGTCAAACATCCAAACAGAATGATATGGTTATCAAAAGGATAATCAGCATTAATCAGTACTGTAGTTTACATCTTTATCAAAGTGCTATTTCCTTTGTTCTTTTAGTAGTGGTTATTTTCCTGGCATTCCCCAGGTCTTATGATCACTGACAACATTCAGCAACATGCTTGAGAAATTCCTCGCTGAGTTCATCACTGAAGAACCTCATGCAATGTGGACATCGAAGTTCACCTTGGCCTCTTCCCTCTGCTGCTGAACTCCCATGGTCTATGGCTGCAGCAGCTTGTAATTCACCAGCTTGCAATGCAGATTGTGACCCTGCTCGCCTCGCACCCGACTGGGTCTGACTGGTCCCCAGCAAGTGTTTAACGTTTGTCTGTATGTACATGTGATTTTGACTGTCAATCTGAACTCTGAAATGACCAGCTGTCTCTCTTGAGTCCTACAAATAAAAGGCAAAGATTGCAGAGAGAAAAAAAGAAGTTAGAAAAATCTAGTTCTGGGACCAAGAGTGTGTATGTGTAATATATATATATATATATA